TTGCGTGGGGAGCGGCGTGAGGAGCGGTGTGGGGAGCGGTGTGAGGAGCGGTGTGGGGAGCGGCGTGAGGAGCGGTGTGGGGAGCGGTGTGGGGAGCGGTGTGAGGAGCGGCGTGGGGAGCGGTGTGGGGAGCGGTGTGAGGGGCGGGGAGCGGTGTGAGGAGCGGTGTGAGGGGCAGGGACATTTAAAAATCATTGCTTAACATTGAAACGACTTGATTTAGTGAGGTAAATTTTACCCTCTTCAATCAGTAGTGTCTGTTTGAGACAAGTAAAATATTGTCATTCTCGTGCCCTCTTTAAAAAAAATGCACGACCTTAATAAACATTGACGTTTTACACAACATAGCAGAAACACAACCGAAAGTAGATACAGCTAATCTGAAATTATTTACTGTAAAAACTCCTCAGCATTTTCATTTTCAGTATTTCAAATTACAAAAAAAAAAAAAAAAAAAAAAAAAAAAAAAAAAAAAAAAAAAGGAAAAAAGGAATTATCTTTTAATGTTTACCATCTATGTTGTAAACTGTGCTATGGATGAAGAAATCTTGATGACATAAGTTGTCAGTTTCTGAACCTGTCAGTGACTGTAACGTTTCGTATCACGACAGCGGTACCCCCGGGGCTGTAGGAGGATGTGGAAGGGCAGGGCGGCAGAAAGGGGTCCTGGGGCGTTCTTACAGCGTTCCAAGGGGATGTGTGTGCGCTCCGGGGAGTGAGACAGCACAGCAGCAGCAGCGCAGCACGACCGGCGCTGGCTCCTCTGCTGCCCGCGGCGCTCGGCGGCCGGAGGAGACGGCTGCTCGCGGTGCCCGCCTCAGGGAGGGCGGCCCGGCCCGCGCTGCCTGCCCGCCGCGCTGCTGCGCCGGGCTGCAGGCGCCTCACGGAACCCACGAGCCTAGTGTCCAAAAGATGTTCTTACATTGCTGTAAGCATGTTCTGCTTTGCTGTGCTAAAGCATTTCATCACAAAAATTAGCACTTTTAAGGATTCTGAAAGCAAAATATGAAAGAAGAAAAAAATTAGTCTTGTAATTATTTGGAATTGTCTTTAATTTGATCTCAATGATTAAAAAAAAAAAAAGGAGAGAGGGAATGTAAAAATAGGATGTGATTAAGTGGAATCTAAAGAAGGGGGAAATTAAGTAAAAAAAAAAGAAAAAAATGGAAGAGAAAATAGACTAAGAAACCAGTAGGTATTTATAGCACAACAACCATCTTATGGGTAGCTACTATTGGCTTGGATCTTTAAAGGAGAAAAAAATGAAAGGACATCCAGTCTAAACTAGATCTCTCTGATGTTTAATTCTGTATGTATGAGGCAGGAAATAGTTTTGAAAAGCAGCAATTTCCTCCCCAGAAAAACAACTTACTTTGCAAATCTTAAAGTCAATAATGCTGCATGTCTCTGCCCGTAAGGATTTAGCCTGAAGTGGATGGTGGCAATTTTGATTGGGGAAATAAATTCAGGTAAAATGATCTGCAGAAGACAGAACAAAAGAAGCCTACTCTGAAGTACTTGGTCAGTAGTAAGGGGTTTTAATATTCATGTTACTCTGCATCAGCAGAGAAATACTGATTTTTCAGTTTATGTACCTGGGCAGTTTGTTACTGCACAGATTGGAGAGGTGAAGTTTCATTACTTACCACATAAGGCAGTCATGTAGTGCAGCTTTGGTGTGCTGCCTAAAGCAATAAAAATTATAAGGTTTAGTGCCATTGTACATCTGTTCTAGGAATTCTTGGGACAAGCATGGGAACTTGGTTTAAATAGGAAATTGTAAGTTAATGTTGACTTCTTACCATATTAAATATAATATACCATTTTTTAAATTTTTCTTCCACCCTCTTTACTTCCTCTGTCACTTCTTATATCTTTAAAGATATATTTTATCTTATATGTCTTATATGTCTTATATGTCTTATATGTCTTATATGTCTTATATGTCTTATATGTCTTATATGTCTTATATGTCTTATATGTCTTATATATCTTATATATCTTATATAGCTTATATATCTTATATATCTTATATCTTTTAAGATAGATACATCTTATATCTATCTGTTGTGTATGGAAACCCTATTTATGTAGTACTGTTGGAGCACCTTATTCTTGACAGGCACCCCTTGGCACTACCTCAACAATGCCACAGCACCACCTTAGATTTGTAAACCAGATTTAATGATTTCATTTATTTAGACTTCTTTCTGTTTTCATTTAGATCTTTTGCGTGTTGGAAATTATTACACTGGTTTGTCTGGGTGAGAAGAATCAGGAAGAGAATAATCCTTCTGTGGCCATGGGATAGTGCAGTTGAAATATCTTGCTTTTCCTGCCATCCTCAGTCCCATTTCCCCATCACACAAATATTAGACTTCAGAGATGTTCATCTGATGCTGGGGTTAGATTTATTTTAATGATAGTAATTTGTGAATGACTGAATTACAAATTAATTTGTATTGTAATGGTTCTATGTATTTTCAGAATTAGTTTTTTCCCCATAACAGAGGCAGATGTGGGAAAGCCTGAGGACAGACACAGAATTTTAATTGTGATAAAGAGACAATAGTCATAGAAAATTTTCCTGAGTGTGAGAATACTTTCAGCATTCTGGAACTCTTCCTATTTCCTGGAAATTTCTCCTTTATAATCTACATTCTACAGGCAGGTTATTAGCTGATTGCAAAGTTTGAAAAGTCACTTGGCAGGAACAAAAATCACTGTGTTCCCAAGCAGACTGTCTGCTCTAATCCAGCTGACAGCTATTAGCATAATTATACACCAGACTTAGTCCACATCTAAAACAAGCAGTTAGCATGCAGACATACAGAATACCTTCCTCATGTGTCATATTTTAAGTCTGATCTCTCTTTTATTTAAATCCTCATGACTCTGCAGCATTTTCCCTTTTCTGTCTTATTTCCAGTATTGCTTGTTTTCAAATGTCAGAATTACTAAATTGTGGCTACTGATATAAACTGATACTGGTTTTATATCTGGCAACTGAATGGTGAAATACTATTACTTTTTTATTAAGCTCAGTGACAGGCAGGCAATACCTTTTTAGATGAGTCAATATAGCTGGTTTTAGATGCTCCAGGAGACCAATGGAGACAACAAATATTCTGGGGCAGGTATATAGCTTATTTTTTATTAATACATGCTTCAACTTCCCCCACCCTTGGTTTTCTGTTTTATGGTAGTTCAGCACAAGTTAATAATGGTAGAGAGATCATCTGTGTTCAGTGTCTGAAGCAAGGAGAAGTGAAAGTAGCCATATTTTCAGTGGGGTTCGTATTGATATAACTAGTGCATATAGTATGTATTTGACAATATCTGGAGGATAAGTCTTGCTTCACATCTGTAAAGCTTGCCTGTTTCTTGTAGGAAACCTGACAAGTTCAGGTCCTGGTTCTGATCCGGTTGCTTCTCAGACTAAAAGAAAGAGAAAAAGAAGTCTCCAGGCTGGAAGGTGCTGGAAGGTAAGGGGCAACATTATTAAGCAGAGGAACCTTACTGGCTGATTTTAATTATAGATTTATTTTTTTTGTCACAGAATGACTAAAAAGATACACCTTTGGTATCACGCTTTATTCACCTAAAGTGCCCATGTTTAAAAAAGTATTGCCGGGCAGTGGAATAAGTGGGTGGATTCTAAAGAATAAGGTTGTAACATACTTGGACAGAGGCCTTTGGAATTTCATCCTAATGGATATCAGTTTCTTCTCAAAGTGCAATTGCTTTTTGGCAATGAATAGGCAGAGTTCATTTCACAGTCCTTCTGACCTTGAGAGCTAGCTGAAAATTAGCGCATTATATATCCTGCTTCTTGTCTTATTCTTTTACACATAATTCATATAACATTGAACAAACCAGAAGGTGTTGTTGTATTGTTTCATACAATAAAATGGTATGTATTTGCTAATATCTGGGGTGCCCTGAAGCAGTAAGGAGATATGGTGCCTAATAGCATTGGCCTGCTCTAGGAGTAGTGCTGCTCAGTGAACCAGCTGACCCTGACAAGCTGATGCAGCCCCTCGGATGTCTGAAGCAATGCTCCTGCTGCAGTCTCCCAAAGGGACACCTGCTGTGTTCTATACAGCACTATACATTTCTACTGGTGTGACAATGAGCGTACTGCACACTAAATCTTCAGTGACATGGCTCATACAAACAACTTAAACAACAGTTATTCCTTGTCTGTGGAATGTAGTTAAAAAAAAAATTAGAATGAAATTGAAAAAGAATATAGAGGAATTAATCACATTGAGGCAAGCTCTACGGGGGGATGTGAGGACAAGTATCAGAACATGAATACTTACCAGAGTTTTAAAAGGAGAATGCAAGTTTCTTCACACATACCATCACATACCTGCCCATTCCATTGTTGAACACATGTCATACTGAGCTTTTGGTTTTCTGTCTATGTTTAAAGCATTTCTTTCCGTTCAAACCAAATGAAAAGTCAATTCAACTCCTACACATTATTTAAAAATACTGGTAATGCTGCCACAGAATGAGGGCAGGCAAGTTAATGTGGACAGCTGAAATGTTGCTTGTAGTCCTTCCAAACACAGCCCGGGACTCAGCACAGCAAGTGTTCCCTGGGCAGGTGTGCTAGTAAATGGCAAAAAATAGAAAATTCCTGCTCCTGTGGTTAGTCTGCAAAGTGGTGTAAAAAAAATGCAATGGGTGCAGCAGCAGAATAACCAGCAAAGGCCAGCACAGCTGTCCAACCACCCACAGGTCACTGTCCAACCACAACCATCCTGCCACGGGAAGAAACAAGGTCGACCTTCCACATTATTTAATTGTGATGTAATTATCAACTCTGAATTAAAATGTCATAAACCAAGCCAAATAAATATCGTCTTTTGATGGGGTAAAAACCTTAATAGGAGCAAAAAGAAAACTCATATTTTTTGAAAATGCATGCATCTTAAACTATTGAATGCCCTGTAAGTTGTATGCATCTCAATACAAACTATGTAGAATCTCTAATAAAGTAGTGATGCCTTTGGATAACGGAACTCATGAATATCACTTCGATGCTAATTGTGAGCTATGGGAACTGACAATGGTCAAATAAGAGATTTTTAGGCTTCAGGCATTAGCTTGAGCCTGTGTGAAACTAATTCTCACTCTGGCCTGAGAAATCATAAGGAAGAATCCAAACAGTCCTTGAAGAAGGAAAACAACCTTTGCTGGTATTGTTTGGATCCTTGTTGCTTACTTGCAAGAAACAGTCAAAGGGTGTAGTTCCTAATTGTCCAGTGATGGTGATATGTTGGTTTAATGACCAATGAGAATTTTACCTCTCGGACCTGTCTATAAAAGAAAATCAGGAATAATAAAACTGGCTCTCTTGTGCAACCCAGAAGAGAGTCGGTGTTGTACAGTGTGGCATTGAGCAAATAACGAACCTTGCTGCAGATTTCTGCCTTCCAGGCAGACTGTCACTTTTCCCCTCTCCATGGCAGTGTTTGGAGAGGTTTCCAAGTGGGGCAGCCAGCACTGAGTCCTTCCCTCACCTCTACCTGACGGCTACAAATGAATCTCTGCACTCTGTGATGGGAAATGACCAACTTTCCAGCACATCTCAGCGACAGCTTTCCCCTAGTGCCTGCTGTTTTTGACAGCTACAGGAATCCACTTGTAGTTACTAAGTCATGTTTGCCTTGTTTTTAAAAAAGTTTATTAATGTTTAAATTACCTTTTGTGAGAATGGTAGTTTGACATTAATTGACATTTAGGGAAAGAAGTAAGAAAGTTAGTCTTTGATACAGTAACTCAAACGCAGAATGCATGCTTGAGTACCATCCTTGGCTGAGATAGATTCTCTTCAAGTCTGTTTACTCTGATAGAAAAACTCATTAGCCTTTTCCCAGTGTTCTCAATCCTTCTTCAGGATACTGGAAACCCTGAAAACCCAAGGAAAATGCAGTGATGCAGAGCAATCATGCTGGTTACAAACAAGGTACAGGTAACAGACTGTACAGCACAGGAGAGTTTGTGATTCAGTTACTTAAAATAATGAAACATTTTTATTAGAAAGAAATCCAAGCAGAATGTAGTCAGAATGGAGACCATCATTTCTAGGACAGCAAGGTGACCTCAATTTCCTTGAGAGAGCAAGGGGAGGGGTAGAGGAGTGATGGAAAGAAAACAGGCTAGAGTTCTGAAGTATCTTGGATTGCCAATATCAAAAGTAAAAACCCAAATCTGAGGAGTCTTGGTAGGAAGGTGCTGGATTTAGCACACTCTGGGCTGTCAGCCTGACACATGTGGGACGTTTCCACTGGAAAGAGCTGGGAAAATAGCTCAAATGTTTTGATATGTTTAACCTGCTTAAGAACATGCAATTAGACTTCATTTTCATGGTATTTGTTTCTGAATATCACACACAGAAAATAATGAGAAAAAAATGAACAGGGAACAGCTTTCCATGGATGAGACTTCCATATTTATTGTTATTCCATGTGCATAGAAAATGGCAGTGAAGTTCCTTATGAAATAGGCAGGGAATGGGAGAGACGTGGATATACTGGACTGGACTTTGTGCTTCAAAATTACACTATTCATTTTTTAAAGTTTGGGCTCTTTTCCTCTTAGAATTCATAACACTTTCTTGGTTTGGGTTTTTTTTTGTGCATGATGTTTCAAAATCCTTTTCCAATGACACACTGCATTACAAATGGATGGCACTTGAGACCAACGTGGCATTTCCATATTTACACCAACGAAGAAATTTACATGACGCAGTAGCATACAATCCTGACATTCAGTAATAGCAATAAAACAAGGGCAGCCATTGGATTTTTTCTGTACAAACTATCAGAACAAGACTTTTATTCACATAAAAAAATCAGCTTTAATTTGCTCTGACCTACACACTTTCCAAATTCATCGTACTCAATTCTCAAACCTTTCATCACATCGCCCACACCCTCACCAGACTACAGGAGCTACAAGTAATGATACCTAACATCTAAGCAGAGCAAAACCATCCCTGCCAGCTTTTTTTTCCTGACAATTCCTCACTCAGAAAAAAAAAAAAAAAAATCATCCTTTTTCCTTCTTTTCTTTCACTTTCACATTTCTTAACCGAAACAACACGGGGCCATTCCAGTCCTTCTCAAGCCAGACAAGAAGCACACTGGGTTTTTCTCTCTGGTGCTACACCCAGGAGTCAGGAGAGCCTGGGTACTGTTCTGCTCGGTAAGAAGATCGTCTGGTGGAATAAAAGTCTACATAATTGGTGGTTGATTTCAGTCCATACTGTGTGGTGTAATCTGAAGGAGCAGGAAAGTGAACTCGATCGTCAAAGTAAGGGTCCTCGTAGCTGTGTGGGGACTGCAGGTACAACCGGTAGGCATCGTAGTTTTTCCTGGTGGTATCTTCTTGGCTGTAGTACAATTGCTGATGCTGCTGGTAAAATGATAGCAAAATAAACTTTCAAAAATATAATTAGCAGAGAAAATACTTTTCCCAAGTGCAGCTCTACCCATGATAGTAATGAAGCTTTCAAATCTCCATGAAATGTACCCAGAGAAATGGAGGAAATGCCTGAGTCTGCTGTGTGTCTCCTCCTACATCATTCAAAGGGAGTAACTCCAAAAGTGCACAACTTTAGAGCTCAAGTACACTAAGTACAGAACCTGGCCATACCTACCAAAACCAGCCCAAACCCAACTCAATTCAGAAAAGAGGTCTCAATTCCTACTGTAAGAAGGTGCTATGGAACCAGCCAGGCTCCAGCTACCCCAAGGCCCCGGCAGCTCAGGGCACTGACCCCACAACTGTGGGAACAGGGCACGTGCCCAGAGCCCCAGGCTGCCCGCTGAGCCCTGGCAGTGCTACCCAGACACAGCTCCGGGCTCACCTGCAGCCTCCGGTTCTGTTCTCTGGCTGGTGAGGAATAGGAACTGATGTAAATTGGTGAAGCTTTGCTGGAACCTGGGAGAATAAAGTTTAACGCATAAGATTCAGTCTTTATTCATTCAGCTTTAAGTCTATTGGTTTTTATTTTGCCTTTTAAGTAGTACCCATGCTATTAAATCTGCCAACTTCAGTACCTACTAATGATACAGTGTAATAACAGAATGAAGGCAAATGTTGTCCCTCAGCAGCAGTTACAGTGAAGCCAGGAGGCTTATGTTGCTGTTTCTCATTTTACAGACTCAAAATCTTTAAAGCAAGGAGTTTCCTTCTCTTTGGTCACTGTCATCTGTTGGTTTGCTACTTGTGTGACATAGTAAGAAGGAAAAGAGAGATCAGAGAAAAAATGAAATTTTGGTATAATTTAGTAATATAATAATATACAACTGCATATCAAAATTTATAACATCATCATCATAATATAATGTACATAATAGTACAATTTTCTGTACTAGTATTTTAAATAAAAATAAGAATTCTAACTGCCTCTTACCTCAAAATATAGAAAGTATCTGTGTTTACTCTGGTACTGGGAAGTTTTACA